CGTCTCTCTCTTCTCAGATTAATAGTGTCGCTAGAAGCTCTTACTTTCATCTACGTAGAATAAAAAAACTTTTGCCTTTTCTTGATGATCCTACTCTTCTCCTTCTTGTTACTTCGTTAGTCTTATCTAGGATTGATTATTGTAACTCGCTCTACTATGGTCTTCCTGACTCTATACTCTATCCTTTAAGTAAAGCTTTTAACTCTGCTGCTCGTCTAGTTGCTCGTGCCCCTTTCTTTTCTCATATATCTCCATATCTTGTTCTCTTGCACTGGCTACCTATAAAATATAGAATAATTTTTAAAATTTGCACGTTCATGTATAAGTCTCAATCTAAATTATTTCCTAAGTACTTATCAGATATATTAATTGAACCTAAACGCCCCGGTTTACGATCGTCTTCTTCTTCTCGCTTTTTCTTAACTCGTGTTAAACACTCTTTTGCCAAATCTGCTTTTGCTTTTTCTGGTCCTTTTCTCTGGAACTCTCTGCCTACTTCTCTAACTATTTCTCCATCGCTTGCGAAGTTCAGAGCGGATCTCAAGACCCATCTGTTTTCAAAATTCATTGAGGAGCGCTGTTGAACATCGCGGAAATAGCGCTTTATAAGCTAATTGATTGATTGATTGAAAATCGGCAAATATGCAACAGTCTGAGGGTGCACAAATTTTTAACCAGTTGACAGTCAACGACAGCAGTTTGTTATGCCTGTCCGTGTACCTTGCGAGAGCCGTTGTAAAATCACAGTTCGAAACAACATGTTTAATTGTTTGGCGATAACTGCATAGTGGACATAGAAATGTTGTTAACTTGCCCCATTTAAGTAAGTTTGCATTTTTAGTAAACTTATAGAGCACACCCGGTAATCCTTCGACGATCTTTGACCAACGCGTTTGTGATGGTAAAATGTGCTCATTTATTGCTTTAGTTAACAAATTTTGGTATTGGAGATTAAACACCAAGGCTGGATGCAATTCTTGTCTCTTCCAGCAATTTGAGTGACTGTTTCACCGAACCTGACTCCACCAGCATCCTATCAACTTTTTTGAAATTAGCTGATGTTTCGCGCCACAAACAAACAGTTTTATCGATGCTGCTTGATTTTAAATAATTTCTGATTTTGACTTTAGTTTTTTTAATGTGTCCTTCAATGAGATGATATTGTGACCACAGTACCTGTCCGGCAGGGAGAGCACTTCGGACACACAGCCACTGGTTGGCGTGGTCAGCCATTGTCTAACGTTCTCCACAATTATGCCGTCAAGATTGGTCGAGACCCTTGTTGATAAGAAATTATAATTTCAAAATTCAAATTGCGGTTGAGTTGGAAGAAATCGCCTAAGAATTTGTAGTTTTTGCTGTGGAGTGACATTCAAATTTGTGGTGGTCTCAAGGAGTTTAGTTAATTTTGTTTTAACTGACTCTCTAGCATTTTTGTCTGTGTTAAGAACTTTCATCAGAGGGTTAAAACATAAACTAAATATAAAAGGGGAACATGGGTCACCCTGTAGAACCCCTTTTCTGACGAGCAATGCTGGCGTTAGTTTATTGTTGAATAGTCAGAGTAAATTGACAACACTAGCGATTTGATTATTTGAGGTAATTGATGATATGAAAGTATTGAGTTGATTAAAAGGTGACTAACCTCGCCGAAAGCATTCTTTAGGTCTAGCAGTGCCACGATGATTGTTCTTTGGTATTTTTTGGCATCCTTCATCAGGTGGGTCAACATTTGGGAACGCTCCAATAAACCGTCGACCTTCGGGTAGAAACCTTTTTGAATATTGGTATTGATGAATAATAATAAGAATATCAATAAGATGGACTTTGCATAACAAGCAAAATTGTCTTCGCTTCAAATTATTTAGTTTAGGACGGCGTTTTGGCATAGTTAAGATCGCCTGTTACTGTTTTGCAGTATGTTCAGTGACTGAGTTCGAATACGGCAAAAAGAATCCCGCCTATCACATGTTACGTGTGTGATGCATCGTTTAGCGTATATGATGTTTGTGTGTTGTTGATTTCTTTCAACCCGGAAGAGTGGGATAGATTTTTTACCTTTTTTTTATCTACATATAAACAAATATTTTCAGTTGTGATTGCGTGACAACTCTGTTGACGGTCCTGTGGTTTGGAACAGTTTGCCAAATTCATTAGGAATTTCTGAAAAAAATTTTAGGAAAGAATTGAAAAAATATTTTTTTTAGTTTGACACACATATAGGTATTGTGTATATATGTGTTTTTACCTATACTCGTATATTAAAGACACTACGACTCTCTCACCTCTCGACCGTTTTGTTTCTGACGGATTGCTTTTTGGTTTTGACAATGCTAAAACGACGATTTAAAGCAATTTTGTTCAACTTATGAATAATTTTAAACTGCTGAATCAAATCTTTTCTTTTTTGTCTTTCTACCAAAGTTGTTAATCCTAATTTTTTAAGACGATCTTCATAAGCTAGGTTTTTATATAGATGGAATCAACTTTGCTGTTCTGTGCTGGACTCTTTCGATCACCTCACTATCATCCTTTAGATCTGGAGACCAAACTGATCCTAATGCATACTTCAACAGTGGATGAATAAAAGTTAAGCATAAATTACGAAGCAACTTAAATTCAAATTTTCCAAAAGATTTTTTTATTCGACCAACATTTGATTTGCTTTGTTTGATGCTGTTATGACTCGATTTTTCCATTTTGAGTTATTTGAAAAAGTCACTCCAAGATCTCTCTCGTAATCAGATTCAGCAAGAAATATTCCATTTATATACAGTCGACATTTTTTATTACTTGAGCCGTAGTGCATTAGAGTACATTTTTTCAATATTGAACCATAAAAGCTAGTCTTTTGTCCACTTTAATACCTCATTTAAATCAGTTCATAATTTTGGTATCATCTGCAAACAATTTTGTTTCATTTTTCAGATTAGTTTGTAAGTCATTGGTGTAGAGAATGAAGAGTAGAGGACCAATAACAGAGCTCTGAGGAACACCACTAGAAATTTCAGCCTAGTCAGAAATAGTTTCATTATTTATTAACAGTTACATTTACGACTTCGCTATTAACCTCGCTACTCACTTCACTATTCACCTTGCTACCTTTATATTGCACGCACCGTATTTATATACAATTTTGCAATCGAAATATTCTAGTTTTACAAAGATAGAAAATAATCAAGATAACAATTATTTGACCATTTCGGCAGATATAACAATAGCAATAACCTAACCCTTCCCACAAAAATTTAGATTTTAGAACAATCAGCCATATTATATCACGTCAAATTGCAAATCTTAACGATTAAAACTAACAATGTTCGATAACAAATAAAAGCACCACCAGCTAAAAAAGTGATTGTGCGGGCTATATAAAGAGAAACTGCAATATGATTCTGATAGGTATTCGGGCTGCTGATGAATCCCCGGTAGGGATGAAACATGTGTTCAGCCTATCCAAACAAATACTATTCTTTTTGTTATTTTTTACTCCTGCTCACTGCTCTTCCTGGTTTGATGTTTTCTTACAACAGCATAACCGCAACAAATTGGTGACCCCGACGTGATCGAAGAAACAAGCAACGAAAGTTCCCACTCCAATGCGAATCTTTCTTTGGTACAACGCAGGATTGATCTCAGCAATTCAACTTCATCCACAACGTTTGCCAAACCACACGCGACGTGAAAGAGTATTGTCAGATTGCAAATCCTATCAATTAAAACCAACAATCTTTAACAATAAATGAAAACACCACAAGCTAACGAAGTGATTTGTAGGGGCTATATAAAGAGAAACTGCGATGCGATTTTGATAGATATTGTAATAATACATGGTATAATTGTAAAAAGGAGAACAAAAAACCTCTCATGTCAATTCATATAATGTTCGCTGGTCTGATATTTCTTTCTACTTTTATAAATTTTGTTATAGAGAAATTTTTTTCGTTTTATATGTAAAATTTCAAGGAGCATAAAAGAAGTCATTATATAGAGATTTTCGTTGTATAGAAGTTCGCTATAAAGATGTCCGACTGTACTTTAAGAAACACTTAAATTAAGTAAATGTAACTGTTTTTCTTAAAAAAATTACTTCATTTTTATGTTTAAAAACATACAGAAAAAAAATTGTAATTTTATTCACATTATTAGCCTTTATTTTCAGTATTAAAGATGACTGCATATTGCTACACATATTTATATCCTGAAAAAAATGATTTAAAAAAATATTTCAGAAAAAAAATAAAAATTTAAAAAAAAAAAATATTTTCTGATCTTCTTTATCCAACTTCGGCCATTCAACTTCCTACTTCGATGGCGATCGACTCTGTCACTAGTTACTAAACGTTTCTGAATTACGGAGGAATTCATCCTCGTTACTCCCAACCAAATTTGTCATTCGTCACATTTTAAAAAATCTTATATAATGACGTAAAAATATGTTAGACATACTGAAATTTTTTTTTTATGGCTGTTGGGGATGCATCTCTATGTCCCCTTGTTTCCGCCACTGTATATATTTATATTCAGTCGTAAACCTACTTCAACTTTGCATTGTTTTCTGAGAAATGGAGTGGTTATCAATTTTACTAAATTTTTCTAATCTGAGTTTGTGGTGATAAGATAAAAATATCTTAAGATATTCTGAACTAAAATTTCTGTTTAAATAATAGCGTTGTGGTTTTTACGAGTCAGAATTATTTATATAATTTGAAAAATCACAACACTTTCAAAGACACTTAGCGATGTTTTCAGTTGCGCTGCTCTTTCTTCTTTGTGCCTCATCAGCAGGGTAGTTCAATTTTAAAAAAATATTTCGTCAACTATTTCACCGCTTATAAATAATATTCTGTTTTTTAAAATGCATTTGAAGAGGCAAATCAGTGTGTTGTAGTTTCACTGGTTGTTTTAATGATGATCCACCTTTTGATAAAATGCCATTGCCGGAATGTGTGGAATCGATGGAGTTTATGCCCACCCACAGTTTGTACACTAGAAGAAACCTATATGAACCTGAACAGATAGATCATGTGAACATATCGTTAGTTAATAAAACTGCACTGCTTGTTTTATTTTTTATAATATTTTCCTTACTGATTTCATTGAATGAATGAATAAATTGATAGTATAGCAGGTAAGCGGATATACAAAAATGTATTATGAACATTAAGATTCAGGGTGTATTTGACAACGTAATACTGTTCGGTGGTTTTCACATGTCATGTTTATAAATATATAAAAATGAAAAATGACAGGGATTTATTTGATCCTGCCAAAAATACGGTTCTAGTGTCGCACGGTTGGATCCAAGATAGCGAGGCCCGATGGATTCCAAAGTTTAAGAACGCTTTGCTAAAAAAAGTTATCCTTTTTCATTAAAAATGTTTTGAATTGTAATGTGATTTTAGTTTTAACAAAATTTCTAGTTGGATATTAACGTGATTCTTCTGGATTGGAAATACGGTGCTAACGATGCAGTTTACCCACAATCGGCTTCGAACACGCGATCTGTCGGTGCATATTCAGCTGTAGTACTTGGTAATATAGTTAAAACCCTTAACTATTCGGCGAGTAAAATTTGGTGTGTTGGTCATAGCTTAGGATCGCATATATGTGGCCATCTGGGAATGAAAATGAAGATTAGAAGAGTTACAGGTTCAATTAGTGTTTAAACATTGTTCACAATATTTTCGACCTAAAAAATATTTGAAACATAATGTCTCAGGATTAGATCCGGCAGGTCCGTGGTTTGAAGGTTCAGCTAACGTAACGGTCGGACTTAATCCCTCTTCAGCTGATTTTGTAGATGTGGTTCATACAGATAATGTGTATGGGTTGCAGAAGCCCTTAGGACATGTAGACTTTTATCCGAACGGAGGAAAACAGCAAACGGGATGTTTAAGTGAGCGATCTAATGGCTTTTTAACCTATTGATAAATATATAATTGTTAAGCTTATGGTTTTGTATACATAGAATCTGAGAGGTTTGATGTTTGCGTTTGGAGAATGTGTGTTTCTTGTTGGCGAGAGTGTAGATGAGAGGTTTAACATTGATAAATCGGGTTGAGCCGGGGAATTATTTATATAAATAAAATAAAAATTTTATGAAATATTACTGAAACTATTTCTAAAACGTTATTAGTCAATTCTAGACGAAAAAAAGAATATGTGTGAAATTTCACATGGTATGAATTAATGTAAAATGTAAGTATATTCTTTGAAAACCTAAAAAACTAAATAAATAGAGCTTCCACGAAAATAATTGATATTTTAATGAAGCAATATAGATAGAGCTATGAGCATTTAAGTTGGCAGAAATAGTTGAAATGATCTGAGCATATGAATGAAATTGGGAATTTCGCGAAAGAATTTTACCTCAGATGTCTAGGGATTGACAGAAGCATGTGATCAAGCTTTACTTGGAGGAATATTTGTCAAAAATATAAGAAAACTGATTTCACGACCATGAGTGAATATCGATAAAAAAATCTTTATTTATCAATTTAAATTTGATTCAAATATTTTAGAATAAAGAATATCTACTGCCTATTATGAAAAATTAATAATTAGTTGAACTTTTATTTTTTTTATTCAAGAATAATTATATTTAATCGTAAAACCTGACCAAATCAGTTTTTTTGCTGATGAGAATTTCTCGTAGCCTTTAAATTTTTAATTGCTGATAACTTTACAGCAAATGCTTGCAGTCACTACATCGCAACGACTTTCATGATTGAATCCGTTGAGACCAATTGTTTTAATGCCTATAAAAACTGTTCTGATGTAAAAGACCTTCCTGTTAGTTATTTGTTAAACATATTATTAGATAAAAGTTAATTCAGCTCTCTATATTTTACATATTTAAATTTTGTGTGTAGGCATCCTGCAGTAACTGCAATGGCGGCCTTTCGTGTGCATACATGGGTTTTGCGGCAGATCAGTCTCTGATCAAAAATGGTGGTTAATTTAATTGTTTTATTGTTTCATTATTTTAAATTTATCTTAATTGATTGTTAATTTTACATTTTTTTTAGGTAAATTTTATTTGGAGACCAATGAACATCGGCCATTTTGTCAGAATTAATAAGGAAGCGTATATGTACTGACAACAAATCGTTTTTAGTTAATTAATAAACTATGACAATCTTCATTTTCAGTAAATAAGAAAAAACTTAATAAAAATGTAAGTAATATACACACATTCACACATAAAGTAAACACTATTGTTTTTTTCTCACCTTGATTGAGATTTGTCGTCGTCATACCAATCATATTCGGAATTATGGTGCCCAAACTCACCAATATTACATTTGAGCAAATATATTAGATGGCTATGATCCATTATCGATTCTGATTTACTAGAGCAGTTGTTTTTCATCACAAGAGATGACGTTCTTTAGTTGGAGTAGTATATTCGTAGTTTAACAGTTGTTTTCGTTTATTGCTTGGACGTTATTTTTTATGATTCTTTTCATGATTTGTGCGTCCTGTTCGAAAGCGGTTGACATGGGATTCTTATAATATATCACTATGTTATTTGTATTATTATTGTTGGTTGCATTGTTGTTGTTGCTGATATTTTTGTTCTTTGCGTTCTATTATTTTCTGGATCATAAAATTTTTATATCCAATATTAATGAGTAATTAGTGATTCAATCTAGTTCTTTTTTCTGCTTCCTATATCAGAAGAGTGCGTATATGCTCTGCTTTTTGATTGTAAACTTTAATTTTGATGAAGAAGTTGTAGAAGTTTTTCTATTTGGTCGTCTTCATCATATGTAACGAATATATCATCAACATATGGTCAGTATATATTAGGCTTTAACTCTGGTTTTTCTTTAAATAACATTTCTTTGATATGTCCAACGAACTAACTTGCGAAGAGTATTCTTAATGGAGAGCCCATTGCTACTCCGTCTTTTAGTTGATATAATGCGTTACCGCTGGGCCAATAAAAGGCGCTTCAGCTGTACATATTCGTAGCAGGGCTTCTGATTCATGTTTTGGAATTGGTAGTGGTGAATAACTGGAATTATATATCCTATCTATTATTATGTTAATTGTGTCTCCTACAGGAAAATTTGTGAAAAAGGACTCCACATCCAAAGATGCTATTTTAGTGTTACTATCGAAAAATGGTTTTGCTGTAGATAATAGGTCTATGAATTATTTACTTGATTTTAAATTATAGCTTTTAGGGGTTTAGGGTACAACTAATTTGTTAGGCATTTTTGTAAAGGGGTATGTGATTGTAAGTCTTTGGCTTATTTGTGGCCGTAGAGGGTTGGCTTTAAGCGTTTTGACAGTACAGTAAGCATATCCTGGTTCATATTCACCCGTGTGTATGGGAATTTGTTTTCTGTTTTTTTTTTATATTATTATTTCTTATAATGATGTCATTTAATTTTGTTTTGAGCTTAGCAGTTGGACTTATCGAAAAAATGTAGCAATGGGCTCTCCATTGGGAGTACTTTTCGCAAACTTCTACTTTGGACATATCGAAGAAACGTTATTTAAGGAAGAATCAGAGTTAAAGCCTAATACATACTGCCATTATTGTTTCTTTTTCGTTACTTGTGAAGAAGACGACCAAATAAAAGAACTTTTACAACGACTAAATTCATCAAAATTAGAGTTTACAATCAATAAAACAACTGACAATAAACTGCCATTCCTTAACATACTAATACAAAATACTCAAAATAAATTTAAAACTTGTCACTAAAGCAACAAAGCTTATGGATTTTCGTTGTATAGAAGTTCGTAAGTGAGCAAGTGATTCAAATAGTTTCATATCTGGGTAGTCTCATATATTTGAAGTTAGATAGGTTAAGATCATCATATACACAATTATTGAGAAATATCACGGCATTTTCAGTTTAGATTCGCTAATTTTAAGATTCTCTATTTTACGTTATGTATATGTAATTTAATGATATTGTATTTTTGATGTCGTCGTCCAATTTATTTATTTATATCTGTATCTGAATTTTGTTTCAGATCTGCTCTTAGTACTGAAGCTTCTTTACTCAAATTACATAATGACACCTTTTTCTCTAGTGACAATAGTAATCATACTCTTCCTCTTGCTTTTGACTTTTTCTACTTTTGATACTGTTGATCATACTGTTCTCTTGGGACTGCTAGATCATTCTTTTAATATTACTGATTCTTGTATATTTTGTCTTTAATAAATCTAAACCCTCTGTTACTATTCCTCCTATTATCTTACCTGATTCAAAAACTCTTGATGTTTCTCACAAATTTCGTAGTCTTGGTTTTATCTTTGATTTTAGTATGTCTCTTTCTTTTCTGATTGATTGCGTTGCTAGAAGTTATTTTTTGTTGTTCTTGATAATTTTATTTCTAATTTTTCTATTCTTACTTTTGGAATACCTCAGGGTTCTATCATTGGTTTTTTTCTATTTATACTCTATACTTATGAACTACCTTGTATTATTAATATTATTTTTACTAGTCAACTATATGCTGATAATTCTTATATTTATATTTATTTTCTTCCATCTTATCTTAATAGTGTTTTTCATAATCTATCTCTTTTTTCAATTATTGCTTGGTCTGACTCTATGTGTCTTAAACTTAATCCTTAAGTTTGAATTAAGTTTTTTAATAAATCGAAACGATCTATTACTATTCCTCCTATTATCTTACCTGATTCTAAAATTCTTGATGTTTTTCACAAATTTTGTAGTCTTGGCTTTATCTTTGATTCTAGTATATCTCTTTCTTTCCAGATTTATAGCTTTGCTAGAAGTTCTTACTTTCATCTACGTAGAATAAAAAACTTTTGCTTTTCTTGGCGATCCTACTCTTCTCTTTCTTGTAACTTCGATAGTCTTATCTAGGATTGACTATTGTAACTCGCTCTATTATGGTCTTTCTGATTCTATATTCTATCCTTTAATCAAAGCTTTTAACTTTGCTGCTCGTCTAGTTGCTCGTGCCCCTTTCTTTTCTCATATATCTCTATATCATGTTCTTCTGCACTGGCTTCCTATAAAATATAGAACATTTTTTTAAAATTTGTACATTAATGTATAAGCCTCAAACTAAAGTACTTCTTAAGTACCCTACTTATAAGATATATTAAATGAACCTAAACGCGCCGGTTTACGATCGTCATCTTGTTCTAACTTCTTCTTAACTCCTGTTAAACACTCTTTTACTATATCTGCATTTGCTTTTTTTGGCCCTTTTCTCTGGAGCTTTTTACCTCCTTCTCTGACTACTTTTCAATCATACTTACGAAATTCAAAACGGATCTTAAGACACATTCTTGAGGAGCGCAACAGAACATAGCGCTTTACAAACTAATTGATTGATTGATTGATATATAAAGTTCAAAGTTCCGGGCTACTTTTTTTTAAAATTTCAAATAAAAAGTAATAAAAACTATATTGATATATATATTAGAGATTAGAGTTAACGTCACTTTCATCAGTGACGACGCATTTAGCCCATGTCCTTCATAGAAATTATGGGTTTAGATTATCATAAATACAATTATTGTATTGTAATAATGATGAAAGTGACGTTAACTCTAATAATAATTGTATTTATGATAATCTAAACCCAATATATATATATATTTAATTTTTTTATTTCCTCAAAGACACAAAAAGTAAACAGAAAGATACTTGTAATAGTGCCTTAACTAAAAATTGTCAAAAATATTTCGATGAGAAAACTAAAATGGCCAAACTTTTGCAAAATATACAGACACATTGCGTAGTTACACACACATATATATATAAATTATATGAATATATATAAAACATTATTCTAAGTTATGATAGTAGATGACAATTTATAAAAAAATATATATACATAACGTAAAAGTCAGAATAACGAAAAATATATACGTACATACATACACACTTATTTAACCACATATATACATACATGCAGACATATATATTGTTTATTGTTTGTTTTCTTCAAGGATACAAAATAAACAGAAAAAAAACTCGTAATAATTTATTGACTAAAAATGTTCTACAAAGATTCAATGAGAAAACAACAATGATCAAACTTTTGCAGAAGTATTCAAAACATTTTCTCTCACATATAAACACCATATGCACAGTTACAAAAATCGAAAAAACGAACTACAAACATGTTAACGCCAAACATTCGGTAGAATTTATAGAATATTGTAAAAATTATGGTCTATTACCAACAGTTGCAAAAATATAAACAACATTAAATAGTCAGAGTAACGAAAAATGCCAGTAAGGATAGTCCGTAAGCAAAAGGATTTATGGAGGTTTATAAGTACAAGCAAAAATTTTGAGATTTTTTTTAAATGCCAGATTATCGATGTTTTTAATGTTGAAGGGAATCACACTGTTCCATAATTTAGGGCAGTATGAGATATACAATTGTTGCCCAAATTTAATCTCGATGTTTTTATATAGAAAGTATCATTTTGCCTTGTAATAATTGATTTATATGGATTTGAATAATGGAAGAATTCTGAATAATATGGAGGTAAAAAATTTCTTAAGAATTTAAAAGTAAATAATATTTGAAAATAGAAATTAATTCGATAAATTGATAGAATTTTAGTCTTAGCAAGAAGTTCTTTGGTATGATCGGTTTGTTTTAAATTAAATGTAATCCTTATAAAGCGTTTTTGACAAACAAATAAGAGCTTTAGTAAATATTCAGGACCATTTCCCCAAATTATATTACAATAAATTAGCTGAAGAAAAATAAAACTATAGTATAGATTAATTTTGCTAACGAGATTAAATTTATGTTTCAATTTATTTGAAATACATTAAAAAACTGTGAATTTTTTTCTAATTTCCATAATATGTAACGACTATGACAGATTACTTTTGATATATACACCTAAAAATTTAATTGTGCTACATTTTCTAAGAATATTATTATTTAACTTAAGAGAAAAGTCTTGAATATCATTGGTAAATATTGTAGGACGAAAAATTGTATAGCATGATTTATCAGTGTTGATGATTAGCTTGTTGGCCAAAAACCAAGCCTCAATTGTCTTGAGATCGATATTAATTAGCGACAAATCATCAATTAGTGATTTCGAACTGTAGAAAATATAAGTGTCGTTAGCGAACATAATACATTTAAATAGTGTAGTCAGATTAGGGAAATCGTTGATGAAAATTGTGAAAAAATAGGACCCAAAATTGAACCCTGTGGAACCCCATATTTAACATGCAAAATATTAGAACTTTTGCAATTCATCGGCACAAATTGTTTTCTGTTAGACAGGTAACTAGTGAGCCAAGAAAGGATTTTACCACAAAATCCTTAGAGTTCGAGTTTGTGTAAAAGTAAATTGTGATCAATAATATCAAAAGCTTTCGTGAAGTCTATAAAGATCCTAAGTGTAGGATGTTTATTATTTAAGTTTTTAATAATTCTATGATATAGTTCTAAAATAGCTAACTCCGTTGAGTGTTTTGATCTAAATCCATATTGGTTATTAGACAATAATTTATATTTATCTATAAATGATTTCATTTTGTTGGCAACTAATTTTTCAAGTACCTTTGACAAAGGGGAAAGCAAAGAAATAGGTCTATAGTTACCAGGATCCTCTCTGTTGCCTTTCTTAAAAATAGGTAAAACTTTCGCCATTTTGAACGCATCTGGAAATTTCCCGCTCTGCAAGGATAAGTTACAGATGTGCAGTTTTTTGCGTTAGGGTATACAATAGAATGTTTATAAAGTTTAGATTTAATCTTCGAAAGCCTTATTACATCATTTGTAACCCAAGATTTTTTGCATTTAGATGTGTTAATTTATTTCAAGGGAGCGTGCTTGTCTAGAATGTCAAAAAAGATTCTGATAAATTGTTCATAACTAGAATCCACCTCGGTTTCATCAACAACAGGCTGCCAAGATACCGATCTAAGATCACTTTTGATTTTTTCCACTGTTGAATTGGAAAAATTTCTTTGTAAAGAAAATTTTTTAGCTTTACCTGTCTCTCAGAAGGTAAAAACTTATGAGATTGAAAAAATTGGATAATGATCAGACAGATCGTGGATAATTACTCCAGAAGAATGAGTAGAGACAATATTCGTAGAAGAGAAAATGAATGAGAGCTAACTCTGGTAGGCCGATTGATGAGTGGACCAAAATTATATAGAAGAGTTGTTCAAAGTCCAACTTGTTTTTATTATCAAGATCCAAATTAATATTAAAATTGCCAATTATATATGTTGGCATGTTTGAGTCAGTTAAAATTTGTTCAAAATCGATCATAAATTTGGAAATATCATTATTTGGCGTCGAAATAAAACTATAACTCTGATAGATTTAAATTGAGTTAACTCAGACTGCATAACTGGATCAATTAATGTCGCCGATATTGATTCTATATATTGATTATTAATATCATCCTTATTTAATTTGTAATTAATAGTATCTTTAATAAACAATTCTACACCCCCGCCCCATTTAGAGTCTCTCACATGACCCTCAAAATTATAACCATCCAACCGGGCGAGAGGTTTTGTCTGTGAAGTAAGCCAGGTTTCAGAAATGACGACTATAGAGAAATTGAAATTGAAAGAAGATAGTATTATACTTAAATCTTCAATTTTTTTCAGCAAACTCCTGAAGTTTATATGCAAGATTGAGAAATTATTGCTAGTTAAATTATCTGTACTAAAAGGATTATTTATTGGTTCAGTAGTGTAGTAATAATTACATTCATTATTGACAAAAGAATAATGAAAATTATTAAAGTTAACCCATGGAATTATATAATTCAATGAGTTAACCATGGATAAAATGTTATAATAAAAGGAGCTATGAAATTATTGACTTGATACAAAAGCTAGTAGAGTAGAACTATTATATATATATATATATATATATATATATATTTCTATTAGGAATAGCAAGCGATTAGAACTATAAATTAAAAATTATCAACAACAAAATTCGTGCAATTAAAAAACTTGAAACAGCGTATAAATAAATATATATATATATATATATATATATATATATATATATATATATATATATATAATATATGCCTCAATCAATCAATTAGCTTATAAAGCGCTATTTCCGCGATGTTCAACAGCCCTCCTCAATGAATTTTGAATATATATATACTATGGCGTCGTCGAAATCGGTTAAAGTTTGCGAATTGTTATATTTTATTAATAATAATTCGGAATTGATTAACGAAGATACGTTTATTTACAATACAAGTGAATTTTACAATAGTGAGGATATAAATGTTGCTATTAAATTGTTAAAAACTGAATTGGAACTGTTAAAATTAGATAAAACTGAAAAATTTCCATCACGTGGCAGTGGCGGTAATAAACGTGAAAAGTTAGTTGAATGTCTAAATTTGTTTAAATATTTTAAAGCGAACAATTTGTTGGATAAATTGCCTGATTTTTGTAGTATTAATATGGATAAAATTCCTAACATGGAAAAATGGTTGAAACTAAATTTTGAATATATAAAAAATGAAATAAAACAACTGTTATCTAGTCAGCAAACTCAGATTAATAAAATGTTACTGTCGTTTTATCTTGATATTGAAAATTTGAAAACTAAGTTCAATAATCTTGAAAATGTTGATAAAGTAAATAACAGCAATAACCGGGAGCTATTACCGGCATATCGTCAACAATCTAACGACAATTTAAAGGATATAAATGACACAAGTGTTTTTAGTAATAGTGTAGAAACGATTTCTACACCATGGACAAATGTTGGTGTGCTAGCTGCTGCAAAAACAAGCTGTGATTTACAATCTGACGACAACGCCACTGACGACCGATTTACACTAGTTCAGAAAATTAAGAAAAGGTCTAAATCAAGAGCATTACCGACACCTGCAAAACCTGTCCAACTTGCTGTAAAAAACGACAAGGACTCACTAGCAAAACCTACCAAGTCTGAAGCTTTTGTAACAACAAACCAACTCAATATAGCAAAACCTACTAAGATTGTGGGATCAATGACAACCAATCCACTCTTCACGGCATCTAAATCTATCATTAGAAAAAAAATCTTCTACATTGGTAATGTGAACTTGCCTGATAGTAGCGTTATAATTAAACATTGTGA